ATGCAATCAGAGCAAGTGAAGGTGCTACTTTCATCTCACTTTATTCCAGTATCAATATCCTTCCAGGCTGCAAGCTGGCTCACGCCTGGCTCATGTCCAGCTTCTCATCCACCAGGACTCCCAAGTCCTTCTCTCAAGGAGGTCCTCCCCATAAAAACCTGGGATTGACCCAGCCCAAGTGCAACACCTTAGACTTGGCCTTATCGAACCTCATTAGGTTCACATGGGCCCACTTCTCCTGCCTGTCCAGTCCAGAAGGCAACCCTGGTACAACCAGGTCAAGGCTGTCAAAGAACATTGCTTTTGGGTGCAGCTCATCACAGTGCCTCACTCTTTACCTCAACAGCTTGAGCCGACATCCACAACTCACCTTTCCTCCCAGGTTTTCCGTGGGAGGACTCATAGGCACTGTGCCCTCCCTTGCTCCTTTCTACCATTCATGGTACCTTGATGCTGTGTTAGGCTCAGGTTTTGGAATAAAGTTCAGGAGAAAGTTGGTGAAAACAATGCAGGAAATACCATGATGGCCTATCCTGAGACGAGGCAATCCCACTTTAGCATCTGCAAGTCTGTAATGAAAGCTTGCATTATTCTGAGCTCTAATGCTGCTCAGATAAGGTAGGTGTTAGTGTTCTCATAGCCACAGGCTCTTTCTTTTATATAATTTTTGTCCTATTGGTATGGACAAGGTTTGAATAAACCATGTTCCTGCCTGAATATGTGCATTCCAAGCCCATTCCAAGCCCAGTTCTTGCTGCTCAGAGCATGGAGCTTTGAAAGGGGAAAGAAACACATTGGTCTGAGAGATGATTTGTTCTCCATCTCAATATGTGAACATGTAGAAGTCAAGAGACACATTAACAGTGAGATGCTATTTCTTCTTCCATCCATGACGTTCTGTTCACATTCAGATACAAGCTGTTTTTCCTACAGCAATTGCCTGTTAGGTGAGAAGTATCCTAGTACACACCTGACTTTCTGTAGCTGACATTAAGCAGAGGTGACAGGGGCTCACCAGCAGCCCATAGCTGCTCATCAATTCACTGCCACAGCTTTGGCAGTGGAACAGCCCAAGACGTAGCAGTGACGATATGGCAAGCAGGAGAATTTCTCAGGTCAGGAGCATTTGTAATAGGCTAAGCAAACACCACAGTCAAGTGAGTGAACCTGCAAGACTTTCAAATTGGATCAGTGGAAGCTTGACGTAGTGATGACCGTGTTCTACTTGGTGCCAAGAAGCAGGATCAGTGTCACCTACAGGAAAGCTCCTGGCTTGATGCCCTTCATCCTCCTTACTCTTGCACTTTCCTTGTACTCTAGGTACTTTGCTGTTGGTTTGAGGACCAAAGGGATGCACGGCAGAGCCCATAGCAGCTCCAAGAAGCTCAGCATGATTCACATTTTACGTGTCCCTGCCGATAGAAACTAGAAGGAAGGAAAATTCCTCTGGTTCCCCAGTCTCACCTCCTAGCTACTTCATAGGCCTAATCCCTTCAGGAACGGTGCCAGATCCGACAAATCATAAGAATGTGTGCAGATGGACACACTTGAAGGATTAGGGGCAGGTGTCATAGATGCTGCTGGAGTAATCAAAGTAGAAAACATTGGAACTGGAATTAAGACTCAAAGGGAGGGAGGGGGGGAAGAAATGGCTCCAGTTTGGTCCTTGAGTGATGTGAGGACTATCCACAGTCTCTGTGACCAAATGCATATTGTATATTAGGAAGAACTTCTCAGAAAGAGTGGAAGAGGCTGCCCAGAGATGTGGTGGAGTCTCCATCCCTGGGGATGTTCAAGAACTGTGGAGATGTGGCGCCTGGAGATGTGGATAATGGGCATAGTAGGGATGGGTTGGTGTTGGACTTGGGGACCTTGGAGTCTTTTCCAACCTAATGATTTGATGATTCTACGAATATGGAAGGCACATTGTTTTTGATGCTAGACCAGAAGCAACATTCTTAGATACTACTTAAGCACAGAATTGGAAGAAAAATTCATAGATAACAGATTTTGAATCATTCAGCACTAACAGAAGAAGACTAGAATCATTTCTTATCCCCAACCTCAACCATACCTTGAAAATCAGGATGGCTTTGTGTATACCATGGCATTTAAACAAGCTACATGAGCAAAATACTGCTCTGAAAGATGGATTTGTAAGCAGAATCATTCACAGTGAATTTTCCTAAAAACTTGGTAAACAACCCCGCTGATACCACATGAGGAGAAAATTGAGTCAAGCTCCCTTGCTCCCCATGAATCTGCTCTAACAAGCATTTTACAGGAGTGAAGAGCAAGAAAATGACCTCCATTTTACTTTGCTGTGATCCAGTGCCTACCAGAAAGTCTAAATCACAGCCTGAAAGGAAAAACTACTGTTTGCAGAACAGTTTTTGTAACAAAGATCCTTCCCCTGTTTACCTGTTCACCAAATCAGAATCACAGAATCAAAAAGGTTGGAAGAGACCTCAAGAGACCATCGAGTCCAACCCTCTGCTAAAGCAGGTGCCCTAGAATAGGGTACACAGGTCAGCATCCAGGTTGGTCTTGAATATCTCCATAGAAGGAGACTCCACAACCTCTCTGGCCTGCCAATGCTCTGAAACCCTTATCACAAATAAGTTTTCTGTGTGTTATTGTGGAAAATCCTCTGTTCAAGTTTTAGGCCATTGCTCCTTGTCTTGTTGCTGCACACCAGCAAGAAGTGCCTCGCCTCAACCATTTGTCTCCCATCTCTCTTTAGATATTTATAAACAGCTATAAACACAACCATTGGCTTAGTGGAAATAAGAGGATGGATAGTAGAGATGCTTTCTTGCTTGCACACATTGCACTGTCAGAGTTTTCAATAAACAAAGACTATATGTATGGCAGAACTCAATGAAATTTGTCTGCTGAAAAGAGTGACAGAGAAGATGAAGGTATTCCTGCTGCCTCTTTTTAAAAACAAAGGTGCAGCAAGCCTAGGCAAGATGCAATTCTAACAGCGTGTGGAGTGTCCAGGAATGCATTGATTTACCAGATACTTGACCAGGAGATACTAGAGCATAACATCGAGGAGGAAAAGGAGTCAGCTGCAGCTACTCCTTACACTGAAAAATACGTTTTGAGCACGGACTTCCCTTTAATCTTTTGCATCAGTCCACTGATATCCTCTGTGCCAAGGGCTGAGAGACAGCACCAAAAAGCTCACCTCACAGAAAGATAAAATCAAATAGCACATGAAGAAAAATGCAGAAGGCAGAAAAGGCACTGAACTTTTGATGTTGGGGTGCAGGTTCCTCATTTAGTGTTTCTGTCCTCAGGTTCCTCTGCAGGGCAGCGAGAGGCCCACATTGCAGACAATTACAGTGAGGTACTCAGAGCCTCCTTCCAACAACTCTGGGAAAACAGAAAACCCTTCTCCTTTGCAGGCATCTGGAGAGCAACTAATGGAGTTTACAAGCAGGAGGAGCAGCTTTAAACCTGAAGAGGGGAGAATTGGGTGAGACGTTAGGAGGAAATGTTTACCCAGAGGACAAGGGTCTGGAACAGTGAACTTGCCCCATCTCTGGTGGCATCCAAGTCCAGCTGGGCATTCTGGTTGAGTGGGGGGCAACCAGACCATGGCATGGATCAGAGCTCAATTCCCTTTAAGGTCCCCTCCAACCTTAACCATTCTATGATTCTGTGCTAATTTTGACACATTGCCACATCTCCGCGTCCCAGCTCTGGAAGTATTTGCACAAAGATTTAAGATGGGAACGGGGAGGGTGTAAAGCAGTGTAAGAGTTCGGGTGCTTAGTACCGAAGGGAAGGAAGCGCAGTCCCTGGGAGCCCAGCAGCATCCTCTTCCCTGGGCTCCGGGAGCCCTCCAGCGGCCGTGCACCCACTGCTGCCTGCTGCAGGAGCAGCCCAGCCGGTGCTGTGCTGGGAGATGAGGGAAGAAAGGCCCTACAGTGGCCCAGCTGCCGAGATAAGGGCAGTCAGACATCACCCCTTCCTACGTGGGAACGGAGGGCACCAAATCGCAGGTTAAGACCTGATGGGGAGTATGTGCTGCTGGGTTAAACTCAGCATCGCAGGGTCACTATTTGGGAGGGGAGAGTGACTAGGACTTCAGAAGTGCTGGTATAGCATCCTTACTTGTTCCAATAGGTTTTCCATAACTCCCTTCTCCTGCTCCCTCTCAGGCTGACACTATTGGGCATGGTGGATTTTTGGTCTGCTCTATGAAGGATATCCTTCTAATCCTGCTCCACAAGTTCTGTTTCAGCAGCAGCATCCTGGTTTAGAATGATTGGGTTAGAAGAGATCTTAAAGCCCACCCAGCCCTACCCTGCCATGGGCTGGGTGCCTCCCAGTAGACAACAATGCCCAGGGCCCCATCCATGCCCCAGTTCCCTCAGCCTTCCTAGCAGAGGTTCTCCAGCTCCCTGAGCATCTTTGTGGTCTCCTCCAGACCCACTCCAACATCCTCCCTGTGCTGGGGGCTCATCAAAGTCACAGAAAGATGGACAGAGCAGGGTACCTCAACCAGCCAGACCACACAGCCCGACCTCTGTGCCTGCTCAGGGGGATTTACACCTAGAGATGATGACAAACAGCATGTGCAAGTGGTAAAGCACCACTGGCTTGCAGGCCCCACTGCCTCAAACAAAGTGCAGGTGGGTCATGCTATTTGCTGGGGCAGATCACAAGAATTTCCTCCAGACCAGTGAGCACCTGGTGAAAGCCCCAAACATCCCTCTATCCCATACCCCTCATGGAGTGGGTGCTTGCAGCCCCATCTTTAAGACTCTTTCCTTCAGCTGGAAAATGGCAACACGCTGATTGCCTCTGTTGTATTTTTCACATGACTGACCACAAAACTATTAATATAACCAGAGCCGGTTCAGCTGGACAACTCATTCCCTCCAAGGAGAGGAAAACCACAGCTTCTTCCATCTCTGGAAAAACCTTTTGTGATGACAAGATCAGCAGCGCAGATGTAGCAGAGACAGTTCTGGTTTGCTGATACACCCCAGTGGAGAACCTCAACCAGCATGAGAGAGTACAGTTTGTTTCTTCTGTTCGTCCTTTCCATCTTCAAAAAGGGTGAGTTCTGAGCTTGCTACAGTTCCGTCTGATAGGGCCTTTCTTCTTTTTTCTTTTTCCTTTTTCCTCTGCTTTAATAACTAGTGCAGGAAGTTCATCTTTCTCATCACTCAGAAGCCCTGTTTCATACTGCTTCATGTTCTTTAGAGTTTATATGAAATTCATACAATTTGCTCCACTCTGCACTTTAGCCCACGGTTAACTTCAAGTGTATACTTAAGTTCTATTAAAGTCAACAGGATTTGGTTACATATACTGTCAGACTGTTTGATAGAGAAAGTTTAATGGCTGTGGTGGGCTCCAGCTCTTGATCTGGTTATCAAGAACTCAAATCCTTTCCACCGACAACTAGTAGATAGAGTTCTTTGTTTTTACCAGTGGGGCATTGTACTTAGAGCCCATGAGCTTCCTGGAGTGCCCATGGCCATATAGCCTTGTACAGTAGATAATCCAGGCTGCAAAAGGTAATCACATCATTACAGTGAGTGACAAAAGGCACCACGACTCCAGACCTCAGTAATTAAAATATTGGCTTGGCACAAATTCTGGCTAAATAACTTAATGGAGGAGAACCAGTCCTACATCAGCCTTTATTCACTGTGCAACACAAAAGAACATTAATTCTGCCTGTACAGCCACTGGGATATTTGTCAAATATTATGGACAGCAGACATAAACACAAGCACCAATCCTAGCTTAGCCTTTACTTGATCAACCTGACGGATGAATGCCCACAGATCACAGCAAAGTCAGCAATCTGTTTACACGAGGCAAATTATTTACATTTTTCTCCAATTATTCTCAACTGTGGAGGATAAACCTCCTGATTTAACAAAGCCACCAAGTAAGTTATGTAAGACAGGAATGTAGCCACAGACGTTCCTGAAACCACTCTCTGGTGCTGCAGGTGTTGCAAACAGAAATGCGGTTGATGGATATAGGTATCTATACAACAAGAGCTGCCTACAAGTGCTATTTGTTGGTATTTATTGGTTACTGGAGAAGGGAAATGGATGAGACACTGAGTTTTCCTGATATATTTCAAGGCTGGAAAACATTCATTCAGGTAAAGACTCTTTTCATCACCAGATAGAACTGATAGAAACTGGGTCTGGTGGCAATGGCTTGTATTTACTGTGATCATCTACCACGACAAGGATTTACAGTGGTCAAATTCCAACTGTTTGTTACATCCTGGCTGGAAAACCCAGAACTTCTCTTCCTGTGAGGCCAGGACAAGGCCTGTCTGGGAAGATGCAGGCAGCTGGAGTCCACGTGTTGTCAACCTGCTCTGTTAACATGGAGCTGCTTGCTGTGCATCCTACTGTGTGCATGCACTCAAACACAGAGCGGTTGCATTTAATTGGATTAGTGCTTGAAGCCACCAGATCTCTGAGTACGTTGTATATATGTATGTACACACACACATATTAGGAAGTGTGTGTCTGCAAGCACACAAACATCTTCCAACTGCAAACACTCACACAGCCTCACAGTGGACATGTACAGGTCAGCTATTGCTGACATGGCAAGGCCTGCTTAAAAATTAAATTGCTTTCAACGTGAGCAAGGCAGCCCCCTCAGCTCTGTTGCAGGCTGGTACCAAACCCAGCCCCACTAAGTGGGCTGAGTAACCACCTGCAAGTCCCCTGCACAGGGGGAGGAACAAAGGGCATCCATTTTCTGATGAATGAGAGAGAGGGTACAAGAAGGATGATCAATTTCCTTCTTCAATACCCTATGTAAATCATTCCTGATTATCTGTTGTTGCTTCTAGGCGTGCAGTGCAATAGCTGGTCCATTCACGTCCCATCTGACGTCACTGGTGAACTTGGAAAGATGGTTATTCTGCCCTGTACCTTCACACACCCTTACAAAACCTTTGACCGTACCCTCACTGCCATTTGGAGGATCAAGGAGCCGTACAATGGCACTGTAGTGTTTAAGTGCACCAGCCAGAGTGCCAGCGAGCTCTGCAAGACCGCCGTCAGCTACAAAAACAAATACAAACTCTTTGGCAACCCCCGGCACAAAGACCTTTCCATCAGGATCGACAACCTGACCTGGAGTGACAGTGAGAGGTACTTCTGCCGTGTGGAGTTCTCTGGGGATATCCACGACAAGTACGAAAGCAGGAATGGGATAAAGCTGCATTTGATTGGTAAGACAGCATCAAGTGCCCAGGGAGGCAAAGTCACCCCAGAGGGAAACTGGAGAGCCGTGAGATGTGGAAAGTGATGAGGTGGTAACAGAAGGTTATCTGAGATGTTTGCTCTTCCAAAACGTTATCTTTTCCAGGTTCTAGTCAGCCCTGAGGAGGACTTGTAACGTACTGGCAGGGAATACTCACTGCAGGCTTCCAGTCTGAAGTGATGTGCACACTGCAAGGAAGGGCACAGGAGCTAAACACTGCAGGAAGTAAAGAAACAGCTAGGATGTGGCTGCCCAGGTGAGAGCCTGGTGAGTCTTGCGTATTGTCCCTGCAGCATGGGATCAGTGCAGGCTGCAGATAGGAAAACTGAGTTCTGCAGCTCCTGGAGTGAGGCTACAGATGGGCTCTTCATCAGGATTTAAGCTGGAGAATGCAGCTGCTGAGCAGGTGTTAAGAGATGTAAGCACAAGCAGGCCTGGATGGCACCAGCATCTCAGCCTGGTCACACTCAGTGCATATGATTCTGTCCCTCTGGAGAGATCCATGCAGCCTTGTGATGAGAAATCACACTGAACAGGCGTTGCACAGCATCCTTGTGGCAGCACAAGATAAAAAGCCCTTCTTAAGGGTGGACATCTGCATGGCAATGACATCTGAATCCTGAGTGATAGAATCACAGAACCATTATGGCCGGAAAAGACCTCCAAGATCACCTCACCCAACCATCCACCTACCACTAATGCTGCCCACTAAACCATGTCCCTAAGTACCATATTTAAAAACATTCCCAGAGCATTTCAAGATGCAGGGACTCCATCCAATGGGCAGCCCATTCCAATGCCTGTCCACTCTTCGAAGTTTTTCCTAATATTCTGCCTGGCACAAACTGGGGAAATTATCTCTTGTCCTACTACCGTTATATGATTGAAGTGGCCAACTCCCACCTTTCTGTAATCTCTTTTCAGGTAGCTACAGAGAGTGATCAGGTCTCCCCTGGGCATCTTCTTCTCCAGACTGAACTACCTCAGTTCTCTCAGCCATTCCTTACAAGACTTGTGTTCCACATCTTCCACAGCTTCACTGGGCAGGAAGGGCATTGCCCCCCTCTGTTCTGCCCCGGTGTGGCCCATCTGGAGCACTGTGTCCAGATTTGGGGCCCCAAGTACAAGAAGGATACAAAGCTGTTGGAGCAGGTCCACAGGAGGCCATAAAGATGCTCAGAGAGCTGGAGCACCTCTCCTGCAAACACAGGATGAGGGAGCTGGGCTTGTTCAGCCTGGAGAAGGGGCAGAGAGCTAAACAATTGGAGGTGGGTTTCCAGCACTCTGCCTCTGCCCTCCATCTCAGGGTTTCCGCCGTGCTGTGCAGAAGAAGAGTGCTTGGTCCCTCTCAGAGGGTGTCCTCACTGATCTAGCAAGAGCCGGGACACCCATGCGGCCTCAGGAGTGGGCTCATACTTAACCAGCAGTGCACAGACACTGCGTGTTGGATGCTTTTGTCTCTGAAGTGAAACCGCAGGCGGCCAGGCGAGGGCTGAGAAGGAGTTCATGTACTGCAGAGAAGTGCTGAGCAGTCAGGGCTCTGCCTCTGTGGAGCAGATCTGAAATATCCCACAGAGAGACTGGTCCGGCAGGGCAACAACAAGCTGTGCTGATGATGAGAGAAGCAGAGTGCAGGTGCTTGCATAGACCCAGTGTCCCCACTGCTCCCCGCTTTGGGAACAGATCCCTGCAGTACAAAGGGCAGGAATTAAATAATGCTTCCTAAAGCAGCTTGTACACCAAAACACACAGATATACAACGCAGCTGGTTCTCATAGCGAGGGCCTGGCACAGGCTGCACAGAGAGGTGGTGGTTCCTCATTCCTGGTGACCCCAAGGTTGGACTGGAGCACTGCTGGAGCTGTGGGTGCCCCTGTGCACTACAGGGAGTGGGACCTGATGGCCTTTAAAAGTCCCTTCCAATTCAAACCATTCTGTGATCTATGATATGGATTGGTCTTCTTTCATTACAATGACTCACGCTGTCTTGCCCAACAAATGAAAGAAATCAACTCCAAGCACCTGCTTTTCCCACATGAGGACGCTCATTTTGTTTCTCTCAGTCTTCACAGTGCCACTGAGAACTAAGTGTATGAAATAGTTCACAGATCCAGAAGAAAACCACAAGATTTTTCACGTCTGCCCTGCTTATTTAGAGAGCAAGTTCAAAGGCTGCAAATTCAACAGTGCCTCTGAATTTTGAGCATCCCTTAGATGGACGTTGCCACCATTCAGAGAGGTCTCTGACAAGCCTGAGACAATAAGGAAAGGACTCACATGAGCAGATCCTTCCTTGAGTGTTCTGGAAGGGCTGGGGTCCAAGGAAAAAATAAGGAAGAGGAAGTTTGACACCAATCTTGTTACACTGTGCATCAAACCTACCGTTGAAACCTAATGTATTTCCTGTAATTTCCACAGCTTCCCCCAGGATCATTAACATTACTGTCAGTTCCAATGGGGATCACACCTTCAAAGCCCGCTGCACTGCCGAGGGTGAACCAGCACCTGCCCTCACATGGACCAGTCCCCACTCCAGCAACCTCACCTCGGTCACGAACACGAACCACCGCGTCACCAAGGAGCTCCAGTACCTGACACACGACGGCAAATACACCTGTACAGCTGTCAACAGCCACGGAAGAGCAGAGGGGACAGTCTACTTCTATAAATTCAAGGCATCCAACAGCTCCTTTTTCCTGATCCTGATTTTTGTGCCGCTGGGAATTAAGGTCCTTGTTTTGCTGGTGATACTGGGCATGACCCTGTTCCCCAGAGGTATGTTTCTCTATTTCCAACATCAGACTGGTAACATGATGTGATGCAGCAGATAAAATCAGACAAGGAAGGGGGAAGTCTGTTATTATCTTTATTTCCACCCTAGGGAAATGACACGCATAACAGAATATTAAGAACAAGTAAGAGGGACCTCCTGGCTGGCTGGTCACAGTCTGCAGGTGCCAAGTGTCATTCAGGATGGGATCTTTAAACAGAGCAAGCAGGAGTTTCCCTGTGCCCAGTGAAAAAGGTTAATAAATCAACAGGTGTGTAATTAGGGAACCTGCTGCCTACACAATCAGATTTTTATTGAACAGACCAATTACTACTTCTTCCCCAGCCCATGGGCAGGATTTACTTCCACTGCACACCTCACAGCAGCTAGATCTCCTGGAGTCAGCATCCTTCTTGCTCCCCAGAGCAACTCCATCTGCATGCTTTCCAGTCAGCAGTGTAATCCCATTTTACACCTGTTCAAGCCAGTATCCCTGCTGTGCACAGGGCTCTGTGATTCAGGCCACAAAGTTGATTCCTATTCTGGCAACAGTGAACCATTCACCAGAGTATCAGTTATCCTCTAGTGCATGTTGCCTATGGCTGTCAATCAGTCCTGGCTCCTCAGATCATCTTGCTAACTGGTATATCTGTTCTCATTTAACAGGTCCTTCCACTGCTCCATCCATCCTGGCCCGGTAAGAGTACCCCACCTTCTACTCACGTTGTCCAGTAGGAGGGTAGAGATGACAAGGAGAGAAGTACAATTTGTCCTCTGTCTTGGCTACAACTTCTGGCCTCATAGCCAGCTCCTGGGATGAGGACAGGGTTGGGCTGATAGTCAAGTAAGCTGGTGTAAAGAACCAAATCTTGGGGGGCAACTGAGAATAGACCTCAAGGACAAGGAATCTGGAGAGACATGGATGCAGCAGAAGCAGGGGATGACCGGAAGTGTCAGAATATCACATTAAACTAGCATAAGAATTCCAGTTTCTGATGAGGCAGGAGAGCCTTCGTAGAATTGTAGAATCACAGCATGGCCTAGGTTGAAAAGAGCCACAGTGATCATCATTTCAACCCCCCCTGCTATGATCAGGGCTGCCAATCACCAGACCAGGCTGCCCAGAGCCAATGCCATAGCTGATGTGTTCTGCCAAGCGTGGAAGAAGGTATGGAGAACCAAATAGTCCATGTCAGAGCCAGCTGAGATGTGGCAGAGTCCAAACCTAGAATCTGAACCATCCTCCCACAGCACCACCAGCATCTCCCAATACCCAAAGCAAGGAGACTACTCCTGACATCTGTAGGGGACAAACTGGTGACAGATGGGTAAAAATGTAAGACAACCCTTAGGTTAAACAGACAGAAACTGTATATGAGGCCAGTATATCCTTGGATTTGCTCTCTTCCAGCCCTAGTTATCTGTGATACGTTTCCCTCACCTTACCTTAGAAATGCATTCATCTCAGCAGGATGTGCGCAGCGTCAGGCTGCAGCCCAAGAGGCAATAGGGAATTTAATCCTAGAGTTAAATTCATAATAATTATCAGCAGAAGCAGGGTGTTGCTGATTTAGTATCTACACTATACTGCACGGCCGACTGCATTTGTAAGCACACAGATGAAAGCTTCCCTTTTTCCACCACCAGGCCGCAGCCACAGGACTCCACCTACGAGAACTTTGACCGCAGGTGCGACGGCAGCCACAGCCTGCCAACAGAACAACCTGCAGCAAGATGCAGCTGAAGACCTGGGCTGTCCCACCCGCACCCATTTGCGTGGTCTGAACCCCTGTCTGCTCTATGCAAAGCTGGATCATCTGAGGGTGCCTTTTCCCACTGAACATAAGACTGTTGTTGACTGATGAACGGGTCAAGCGAGCCTTGTAGGCACATGTTTTCCATCTCTGCTGAGACTTAAAATTAACACAAGACTTTAAAGCAAAGACAGATTGCAAAAAAAAAAAAAAAAAAAAAAAAAGAAAAAAGAGAGAAAGTGAAGAGTGGTGGAGCTGGAAAAGCAGAAAATCTATGTGAGATGCCAGTTCTAATCAACCTGCATGTTTCTAACCTGTGTCACAAAGTTCTGTAGCAGACACATTCACAAGTTGTAGTTGGCCCCATCTTGTATTGCAGTTTTTCCTGATGAGAAATGGCTTCTCGATATGGGTATATTCGGATAAAACACCACAGTGTATCTGTCTCATATTAAAGAAGTTGCAGAAAGAGACATTTTGATGGGAACTGGAAATCAAGGCACCCATGCTATCCTGTCCATCAACCTCTTTTACCCAGGCAGGGAAGACAAACAAAGAAAACAACTTTCACTTCATTAAAAAAGAAAAAATTACTTCTAAAGTTTCCATCCCTGTGCTACATGAAAATATCTTGACCACCTCTTAGTGACTTCACACTAAGAATCACAGAATACCAACCAACACCCCCAGGTCCCTCCTTCTTCACACTCATCCAGCCACTCGTCCCCAAGCCTGTAGCACTGTATGGGGTTGTTGTGCCCAAAGTGCAGGACCCGGCACTTGGCCTTGTTGAACTTCATCCCATTCACCTCAGCCCAGCGATCCAGCTTATCTAAATCCTTCTGAAGGGCCTCCCTACCCTCAGGCAGATCAACACCACCTGTTGTAGGTGTAAGTAATCTCTGAGAACATGTATTACCAGATACTGCCTCTTCCAGCAAGCTGAAAATACCACAGCATTTGTCACAAATTACCCATTTTTTCTCTTTTATTTTGCACTTTTTTTTTTTTCCAGACATAGCATGTTATAAACACACTTGTAAAAACTCAACAGCTGAAACAATACCTTCTTTCAAAAGTGCATGTCAAATGCATGTATCTCTCAATTCTTCACATTTTTTTATGCAATTGATCAATAACATTGAATCTAATAAACCAGTGCTTTTAACTCTCTGCAGGGGTTGAAAAAGCAGAAGAAGATTCTTCCAGGCATCGCTTTCCCAAAGGAGTCTGTTAGAAATCATGCTGCACCTTTACCTGGTTAGCATACAGAGAGATGTACATATATATACATAGATTTCTTTGCTCGATCTGTGAGCCTAAAACCACACACAGATGTGGGTGATCTGATGACACAGCTGGCACAGTTAGCCAAATTTGTCGAGAAGAAAAAGGTGGTTTGCTCTCCAGCACCAAAATCACAGTTAAGAGCAACACTGCAAAATAATCCATTATTGAACATCTATTATCCCCATGTGACCTGAACAAATGCTTAAACACGGTTACATGTTCTAAACACAAAGGCACAATTAATGCAGAAAGAGAAGAAGCTTTCACTGTTGCTTCGTTCGTAGAGGTGCACAGATTGAGAATGTAGGACCTTGGGCAACCTCAAGTAGATCAGCCATGGAAAGGCCAACGTTACACGAGCAAGCAGGGAAATTCACTTTCTGCTTCCACCGAACAGAAAGTGCAACATCAGACAAAGCAACAGAAACAGTGATCATTCAGCTGAAACAACGGATTTACAGGCTCATAGTACAATTTTAACAAAGTGATTTAATTGAAGCTGAACAGCTTTTCACAGTGTCATCTGAAGTTCTGCCATGCCATGCCCAGCTAGGAAGAACGAACTTCAGCGGTGTCCACTTACTAAACCTCTACTCCTAAACAACCAGGTTTTCAGAATTAAGGATTTATTATCCAGCAAGAACATAACTGCTACTCTCCTGGACACTGAGAAGCAGAAAAATCAGTCTGTAGACATCACCTGACTTAGGAACGACACGGCCATAAAACACTTTTGTTTAACCAACCAGTATGGAGGCAGACTCAGTAATATTTAGGAAGTAGGAAAAAGCAAAGTCCTTAAGCTCAATTTTCAGTTTGTATTGACATGGCAGAAGATTGTAGGCATGCCTTTAAACTGCAGAGTTCTGCAGAATATCAAGAGTCAAAATTTAAAATACCACCTGTTGGAATGCAGGGACAAATCTCCCTGTACACACTCACACACTCACATAAGCTTTAGAGGTATCCTACTAAGAGAGTGAAAAACTGTTTAACACACAACCCCCCCCCATTCACTTTGCACTGGCTCAAATAATGACATATAGGAAAATGAAAAAGGCACAAAAAAAGAAAAAGATGCTACAAGAAACAAGAGTGGGTTTTGCTGTCTAATGATTTGCACATGTATCCCCTTAGATGTGCACCTTGCACAGGAACATATTCAACTGTTTTCAGTTGATAAAAACTGAACAATTCCACAGGCCTAAATATCCTAAGAGCTTTAAGGGAAAAAAAAAAGAAACCTCAAAGAGCATAAAATCTGCCAGTGTGCAGCTCCCATTCACACTTCTGACTTACTTCAAATGGAACTATTAACGTAAAAATTACTTGTGCAAGAACAACTTTAAATGTAAACCAGAATTATCAACACTGCATGATCCTTTTGTGAGCTCAGTGCTGCTACCGTATGCAGTCCAAATAATGCACTTCTGGGTACAGCGTGTTTACAAGGAGAGACAAAAGATTATTGCCATCTTGAAGACAATGTTCTGGATGCTTGATGAACAAAGAAGCCTGGGAGATCTGTTCTTGAAAATCCATATATTGTTTGTTTGATGCCATTGATTCAAGAGCACTCAGTGCCTATAGACACAAGGAAAAAATTATGTTAGCTGTCTGCATTTTGGCCTGCAACAAACCAGTTCACTAGACATCATAAGAAAGATTCCACTGGAAGAACATTATCTATTGAAGAGCCTGCTATATTTTGAACAAAACATTCATAAAATACAGTCACACGTATTATTTCAAACCAGCTCCTCTTTAAAATTGTTGCCATTCCAACACAAGCACAACAAGTGCTCCACCAAGGCTGGCAATGATTGCTCCAATGTTTATTTCACAAACTCAAGACATGTTTTTAGAGAAACCGCACCAAAACACAAAACATAACACACTTAAAGATTCCATTAAGGATAGCCTGAAAGGAACAGTTGACTTCTATCAAGGTATCATTTTGCTCCCATTAATAACACTACAATTTCCAACTTGACTTGTCTCTGTAGCACAGGAAGAGGACAATTCAAGAAGCCAAAGACTGGCACACACTACCTGCTGGGCCTTCTGTGTCAGCTTTGGTTCTGAGCCAGCTTTCAAGCGAGCCTGCCCCTCTGCAGGAATCTGCACCAGGAGGAAGGCAGACAAACTGCGGGCAACCAGCCGAAACCTGGCAGAGGGAAAGAAGGCAGAGAGAGAAAGTGATGTCAAGTCCTCAGCAGCAGATAAACTACAAGTTCTATCCCATGAGAGATCTTTCGCGTGAGGAGCATACTTAACAGCTTCAGAAGATCATCTGCAATGCATTAAGAAAAAAACATCATTGCAATATATGTATGTACATCATACCTACAAGCTACCACACATACGAAAAGTAATGCCTGACCCAAGCTGAGCTGCAGCCTTGAGGTCACATCTGATATAATCCCTCATGGTAGAAGGAAGGGATGCCATTCAGAGGGACCTCAACAGGCTGCAAAGGTGGGCCCAGGTGAACCTGATGAGGTTCAACACAGCACAGTGCAAGGTTTTGCACTTGGGCCGGAGGAATCCCAGGCATCCATGCAGACTGGAAGGAGCAGTCCTTGAGAGCAGCCCTGCAGAGAAGGACCTGGGGGTCCTGATAGATGAAAAGCTGAACATGAGCCAGCAGTGTGCATTGCAGCTTGGAAAGCAAATGGCATCCTGGGCTCCATCAGCAGAGGGGTGGCCAGCAGGGACAGGGAGGTGATTGTCCCCCTCTGCTCTGCTCCTGTGAGGCCCCATCTGCAGTGCTGTGTCCAGGTCTGGAGCCTCCAGTACAAAAAGGACAGGGAGCTGATGGAGAGGGTCCAGAGGAGCCACAGAGATGATCAGGGGACTGGAGCACCTCCCCTATAAAGACAGGCTGAGGGACCTGGGCTTGTTCAGCCTGGAGAAAAGAAGGCTGCGGGGTGACCTCATGGCAGCTTTCAGTACCTAAAGGGAGCCTGCAAACAGGAGGGGAATCAACTCTTGGAAAGGTCAAGGGGAAATGGTTTGAAGCTGAGGGAGGGAAGATTGAGGTTGGGTATCAGGGGGAAGTTCTTTGCTATGAGAGTGGTGAGGTGCTGGAACAGCTGCCCAGAGAGGCTGTGATGCCCCGTCCATCCCTGGAGGTGTTCAAGGCCAGGTTGGATGGGGCCCTGGGCAGCCTGGGCTGCTATGAAATGTGGAGGTTGGTGGCCCTGCGTGTGGCAGGGGGTTGGAAATTCATGATCCTTGAGGTCCCTTCCAACCCTGGCCATTCTGATTCTGTGATTTTGCAAACTTTGAGACATCCCCACCATCCACACTAAAAGATGAATTGAACAGGGTTAAGATTTCAGCCCAAGGATCTACCTCAGATGTTCTTAAAAACTTTACGTTTATTGAAGTACTACGCTGAATTGGTTTATGTATTTTTTACTGGCCTTCTTTCCATGCTGAACTTCATTTTAATACAAGACAACCAAACTTGGCATGTTTTTTAGAAAACAAACTGAGTAGTAAGTAAGGAGATGTTTGATTTTCTCTTGATATTTTGCAGCAGCTCAAAGCCCAGGCAGAAAAGGCAATGTGTTTGTCGTCGTACAAAATTCTTGTGATGTCAACCACAACTTCACTAGAAATGAACATTAAACTAGAATCAAAAGCTGCACTTTCTTTATATTTGCACTACAGACTTGAACAAGAAGTTCATACGCATTTCTTAACCACACTGAAACACTCATTACAGTTTTTCTGTCTAAACTCCAGAGATATGGGGGGCAACTGGG